CCCTGCCCTCAAGTGTCTCCCCAGACTTCCTTCCTTCAACACAGACTGGAGGGATATGGAATGAAAGCAAAGTTCCTGCTCCCACAGAGCAAGATGCTCCATTGGAATTCAGACGATCCAGGATCAGATGCCCCCAAGAGAAGAGAGAGCTCCAGCAGTCAGAGATCTCTGCAAGGACTGAGTGAAGCACCAGAGCAGGAAGAAGATACCGGCTTAGGTGTGACCATCCTCCCATCCCACATCTCTAAGATAGCTGATAACCCAAGATGAGAGAAACCATGCAACCGAAACCAAAGAGCACCACTTGGCTGGGCAGCCCGGCCACACCCCTCGGAAGCAGAGAGCTTTCAAGGAGGTCACACTTGGCTTCTTTCCCAAGTTTTCCCAAACATCCTTGAAATTTCAGGGTTACATAAGAGTTCACTCCTGCCAGAGCTTCAGACTCTAAACTTCCACAAGACGGCTACACGGGCGGGCAGCAAGCAAACATTAGGAATGAGGCAGCACCAACGTGCTCCACTTCTAAAGAGGAAAAGTGTCCCATCGAGTGAAAACAGCAAGTACGCCACAGTGGGTATCGCTCGTCCCGAACGTCCACGACATTCTAGGTCCCATTCGATTGCTCAGATTAGGATGTAAGAGAGAACCAGACAGAAAAACCCTGCCCGCCGACCGCTTACGTCCGGGTATTAATAACCAAAGCACACAGTACAAAGTATGTTAGAAGGCAACGAGTCCTACGGAAAAAATAAAACAGGGGAGAAGGATAAAACAGCGAGAGAAGCTGCAATTTTAAGGAATCACTGAAGTAAAGACACGGGGAAGGGTGAGCCGCGCAGAACACGCGCAAAGGTCCGGTGACAGTGCCGTGCACGAGGGGAGCCTCCGAGAGGCGGCGCGAGGGCGCATCAGGACGCCAAGTCGGAGGAGCAGGATGGGGAGGGCTCCGGCCAGAGCCTGGCGGGCCGGGGAGAACCTGGGCGGCCACCGGCGCGCGGGGAGCGGCTGCGGGTCTTGGGGCGCAGGAGGCCCGGATCCGACTCCCGGCCCCCGGCCGCGACAGGGCGGCGGGCGCGCGCTCCGGCACCTTGCGGGTGATGTTGTGCACGTAGGGGCACGTGTTGCAGGCGAAGCGGTGGCAGCGCTGCCCCTCCTCCACGATGAGCCCGTTCCCGCAGCCCGGGCAGAAGAGCAGCATGGCCGCGGCCGCCCCGGCTCCCGGCAGCCCCCGCGCCGCGCGCCGCCGACGCGGGCCCGCCCCGAGCTCGGATTGGTCCTGACAGCCGCCCCGCCCCTCGGCCCCCAGTGGACACACGGATGCGCGCTCCCGGCGAGCACCGCGGCACGCTGCCTCGAGCTCCTCATTGGTCCTCCGGAAGCCCCGCCCCTGGGCCCCTCGGGGGCTGGGCCGTGGTTGCAGGCCGGCGCGCGCGTCCTTGGATCGCACGGACTGGCTGGGCGAGCGGATCGGCCGGAGGGGCGTCCTGGAGGCGGCGGGGGCGGCGGCGGGGGCGGCGGCGGGGGCGGCGGCGGCGCTGGAGGAGGATGAGGACGAAGAGGAGGCGCTGCCGCACTCCGAGGCGGTGGACGTGTTCCAGGAGGGCCTCGCCATGGTGGTGCAGGACCCGCTGCTCTGCGACCTGCCGATCCAGGTGCGCGCGGCCCGGGGGCTGGGGTCGGGATCGGGGTCGCTCCCTGCCAGGGCGAGCGTGAACAGGCCCCCGGGGGTCCCGCTGGGGGGCTGCAGCCCGGAGGCCTCAAGAAGGCGCCTGTGGGCGTCAACGGGGGTCTTAACCGGGCCGCGCCCAGGGTGAGGCGAGCGAGAATTCACAGGGGCTCCAGAAAACCCGGCACACGTGGGTTCGGGATACGGGAAATTTTAATACGATATTTTTAAAACTCTAAGGTGGTGTAAAAAAGTCTGGTAAACAGAGTAACAAAATTGTAAATAAAGACAAGATCAGTGTTACTGGCTTTTCTTCTCAAGCTTCAATACGGCTTGGCACCGTCCTGTCTTTAAATCCTTGTCATTTTGCCTATCATGGAGTTTTAAAATTAACTTGTTTGCTTGAAAGTTGCTTTGAAACGTTTATCATTACCATTTTTTGGCGCCTTGGTAAATTGTGCCCACCTGCCTCAACTTTGTCCCAAGGCCCTGGCCTGGATCATAGTGATCCAGGACTCTCATACTGGGCTGACCAGCCCAGTGTTCTTTCTCCTGTCCAGCCGCTGGGCTAGAGGACCTGGGGCTGATCCTGACGTAGATTCATTCCCCTGCCTGTTTCTATGCCCGTTCTCCCGAGCCTCTGTCCAGTTTGGACGTTAAACAGAAAGTGTGGATGAGACATGAGACAAGTGCTGAGAAACTGGGAGACCCTAACATATAGGCAAGCACCCTGTCCCTGTCTTGTCCTTTGTAAAATATGGCCCCACTTTTTGGACACCACGAGCTTGTTTTTTTCTGTTGTTTGGGGTGGTGAAGAGAGCCAGGCCACCCACCTCCACCCTTTGTCTTTTCTAGGTTACTTTGGAAGAGGTCAATTCCCAGATAGCACTAGAATACGGCCAAGCAATGACAGTCCGAGTGTGCAAGATGGACGGAGAAGTGATGCGTAAGTGCTGCCCTCCTTCCTTCAGGCGGTGGGTCTGAGCTTTCCCCGGGGCAAAAAACGGGGAAGTGGGAAGCTCAAGGGCCATGCCCAGGGGTGTTGGGGCACCCACAAGCCCACCCTGCGTGGATTTGAGCCTCGGTCAGAAACAAGGCTCAATAGAGCTCCTGAGTTCCCCTCCTGCCATCTGAGGCGGTAGCTGTCAGTTCCCACCATGGGTCTTCATCATGGTTTGTGTCCCCGTGGCAGCTGTGGTTGTAGTACAGAACGCCACGGTCCTGGATCTGAAGAAGGCCATCCAGAGATACGTGCAGCTCAGGCAGGAGCGTGAAGGAGGCATTCAGCACATCAGCTGGTGAGTGGAGCGGTGGCTCCTTGCAGCCCTTCCTGGGGTTGGTGTGGGACTCCACGGGAGCGCCCGCTGGATGTGTGCTTGTTAATCACCTGGGCTCTGCTACGAATGCCACCTGGAGCGATGGGCTCCCTGCCCGAGGCTGCTGCTTCTGTGCTTCGGGTCCTGCTTCATGCTCTGTCATCTGTATCACCCCACCTAGGCAGCTGGGTGTCTTCACTTAGGGACACCCTAGGGCACTTGCAGTGTGTCCGGAAGTGGTCTCCCTAGTTACGGATGTGGTGCAACGCCATCCCCTCCTCACTTGGGTGCTGTCAGCCCTCACCTGTTTCATCAGCAAGGTGTGTTTGGCCCCCAGCCACCCCACACAGCGCTTTGAGAGCAGTGCCTCCTTGTCGCTGCCCCAGGCCTAGTGCACACGTCGTTCAGGAGGAGCCCAGAGAGGAGGCCGGCTGCCCGGGGCCCCACAGAGCTGAACGCCTGGAGCCCGTCCCACACAGTTTCTGCCTCCCAGTGGTCCCCAGCTCACCCGGCTCATGGTTTACCTGAGCCCCCGTCTTGTAGGTCCTACGTGTGGAGGACGTACCATCTGACCTCTGCAGGAGAGAAGCTCACAGAGGACAGGAAGAAGCTCCGAGAGTGAGTTCAGGCCACGCCCCGAGCTGCAGGGAGGCGTCTGGACCGCTGCGTCTAGTCCACATGCTCTGCCAGACGGCTGGGCCCCCCAGGAAGGGGGAATCTTGAGGCAGTTCCTGGGAAATGTGGGAGACCAGGAGAGTCCCTGGCTGGACTGACGCCCTCCTGTGAGGAGCTTCCTGGGGCCTCCGTGCTAGGAGAGTGGGAGGCAGAGGAGAGGGGAGGGCCCTCTGCTCCTCCTCAGCAGCAGCAGAAGGGAGAGGAGGGTGTGCATGGAGGTGAGGGGCTGCCCGCCGGCACAGTGTGGGTCAGTGCAAGGACGGCCACTGCTGCCCCCTTGCCTTCTGGGTGCCACACTCCTCCCACCTGTTCTCTCCTGGTCCCTCACGAGCCTCAGGTGAGGAGTCACAAACGTACGCTTCTGTAGATCAGACGCCTTACACCTGTCCTCTTTCAGTTACGGTATCCGGAATCGGGATGAAGTGTCCTTCATCAAAAAGCTGAGGCAAAAATGAACCTCCAGACAAGGACACCTCTGTGCTGGTGGCCGAGCTCTTCTTCAGCAGGAGGACTTGGCCACTCTCCCCCTTTCAGAGAAGAGTGTTGAAGTGGCCTCACCCCAGCTGCTTCCAAGTGGATGAACGCTGGTCCCTCGGGACTAGGACCGGTGAGCTGGTGCTCATGGCCTCAGCTTGACCTCGCTGCGCCCAAACACCGTAACCCTGTAACCATGTGGTGGATCCCACAGGGCTGTGGGCCTAGCCCCAGGTACAGAATAAATCTCTTTGCCTCTTAGTTTGACAATTCAAAAAGCCACAGTACCCGGGGCAGAAGGAACTGGCGCTGCCCCACCACAGAGGGGAGGCAAGGGCAGAGAACGGTGCTGGTGAGTCCTAAGATCTAAGGGGCCACACCTGAGCCCTGTGGCCACACTGTGCCCCAAACCATATGACCCTGCTACTGTAATCTCTACAGCAAGGAGGAAATAAAAGCAGAGCAGCTGGCCTTCTGACTCCGCTTGTGGGAGACAGGTCTGCGTCCGAGAGCACAGCCTCCAGCCTCAGTGCACAGGGTCCGCCTGCAGCGGGGGCTCCACCGGCTCCAGGGAAGGGAGGCAGCCTGGGGCTGCAAGGGAGCTGCGGGCTGGGCAGGCAGGACTGGGGCGGGGCACGTCTCCGAGTGTCGGGGGAAATGTGACAGTGTATCCACAGGCCCTGTCCCACTGTCACCTGCCAGTCACTCTAAGGACAGGATGCAAGGTGGGTCCACCTGACTGAGGGACTCCATAGGGAGGTGTGCCTGACAGTGCTGTGTTCTGGGCAATTGTGAGCAGCAGGCCAGGGGCCTGAAGGACCTCCCCGACAGCCCCCAGCCAGAAACCAGAAAGGAGGAGGCAGCCCTGGTCCAGTTAGTGGCAGCTAAAACGCTCCCGGTCCATTTATTGGCCACATGGGGTGGTCGTCAAGAGACTGGTTAGCAGGTAATCACGGGAAGTAGTGTAATAAATGCCCGGAAGGACGAGCGGTTCAACAGCAGTGAACAAGGCACAAGAGGTCTGTGTTCAGGAAACGGGACCCCACACGGCTTGTCGGTGGAGTCCCGTGGCCTGTGAGGCTCGGGGTGGACAGTCTGCCTGGCTCCGGCCTGCGGGAGCATGCAGCCCCCAGTGCCCCGGCCAGCTCAGTGGAGCTGAGCGTCCAGCTCGTACTTCTCACAGAACTTGTCGGTGAAAGGGATGCAGGTGAGGAACTCGCACCACTCGCAGCGCACAGGGTAGAAGTAGAAGAGGACCACCAGGCCAGCCAGGAGGCCCAGGAAGACCGCCTGAAAGACGATGATCTGGCAGCGCTTGCGGTACAGGTCGAACTTGCCGAAGCTGATGTAGGGCAGGAAGGCAAAGGAGAGGAAGAGGCCGCTGATGAAGCCTGAGATATGGGCGAAGTTGTCGATCCAGGGCAGCAGCCCAAAGGTGAAGAGGAAGAGCACCACGGCCAAGAGCTTGAAGAAGGCACGCCAGGGCCGCGCCAGGATCTGCCAGCTCTGGAAGAGCTCCACGAAGAGGCAGGCGAGGATGCCAAACTGCGAGCCGGCTGGGCCCACCTGGGGGAGGCAGTGTGGGTGGCTGTGAGGTGGCAGCGCTGTGCAGGCCCCCAGGGACCCAGAGCCTCATGTCCCCGTCTCACTTCCCATGGCCCAGACACATCAGGGTTAAGAAGCCAAATGGAGATGCTCCAGGGCTGGGCACTGGAGGGACCCAAACAGTGCTGGCTGTGGATCCAGTTCATGCTGGGCAGCAGGTGCACATGGGGGTCCCCACCCTGGGGGCAGCCTTACCTCTGCCCGGTACGGCAGGAAAATGGCACTGGCCAGGTTACCGGTGACGCCACTCAGCAGGTAGATGATGGCTATGCGGTGCCAGCCTGCCAGCTTCTCCAGATCCCGCAGGACAGTCATCTGGAAGCAGACGGACACCAGGCAGTGCAGGATCCTGTGGGCGCATGGGGGGCACTCAGCAGGGAAGGCCGCCCTTCCACTACCCCCAGCCAGCCACTCCTGGGGTCCCTGAGACCACCCACTCCACTCATCCCTGCTCAGCCCTTGTGGTATCACTTGCCCAGCGTGCAAGAAGAGGGACAGCCACAGGCGGTAGAACTGGTCGGGCACCTCGGGGTTGAGGAAGGGCAGGAGCCCACACACGTCATCCATGCAGTGCACCTGTGCAGAGTGGCTGGTCAGCACCCGCCGTGGCTGAGGGGAGAGCAGGAGGGACACAGCCTGGAGGCCTACCTGAGAGCAGAGTGTGGCCTCCTCGTGGAAGTAGCCCCTCATGAAGTCACAGTACTCCCGGGAGGTGATCTCGCATCTGGAAGGTCAGGCCAGGGTTGGGAGGGATTGCCAGCGAGGACTGCTGGGTCCACGGGCAGAAAGCCCTGACTATACCCAGGCCCAGGTTGCAGCCCTCCTCACCCACCTCTCTTGGCCCTCACCCCACACCCCATGGTATCTTGGGTCATTTTGGGACTTGGTAAGGGAGCAGGGCACAGCCCCAGGGCAGTGCTGTGTGCCCAGGACCAGCCGCACACGCACGCAGAGGCGCCCCTACCTGCCCTTGGTGCCAATGCAGCAGGGCCGGCCTGTGATGACACAGTCCATGTGTGGGTGGTTGGTGTGGTTCCCAGCACTGTTTTTGGTGCAGATCTGGGTCACAAATAGGATGAGTGGGGTCAGGGCCCCCCCAAGCCTGAGCCCCACACCATGCCTGGGGGTTGAGGGAAAGAGGAACAGGCTCCTAGGGTAGGAAATGACTTCAGGCTGCCGCACCCTGAGCCTCAATCGGGCCCTCTGTCATTCGACCTCCCAGTCTCCACCTGGTCTCCTGCTCTGACTACCTGCTCAGAGGCAAGTGATGGTGGCTGGGCAGACGGGGCAAAGCCCAGGGGCATAGCATCTGGAAACACAGGGTGGTCCCACAATGGGGACCTCTCTGGCATCACTAACAGGTGAGGTGTGGAGTCCCCCCATATGACAAGGGTGACCCCCCAACAGCCGCCCCACCGCGACTCACTGGCCACTTGGTGATGTCATCTGGCCACTCATGGGGGTCCTCAGAGGAGGGCTCATCACACACCCTGCATGACCCAGTATTTGGTCAGACCCTGCTTTGTGTCCTGGGCATTGGCACCCTCCGCCCAAGTCGACAACAAAGGGAGCAGCTACACCCTCTTCCCCCCCCTCCCCAGGGAGATGTGGACAAAGGGAGGCAAGGGAGGGGCCAGCAGGACTGACCTGGGGTCCTGGTGGCAGACAGAGCCAAACTGTCTCTTGTGGCCAGCAAGGTCTGGGGCACTGGGATGGAGGGGCCACTTCACCCACACTGCCAGTGTGGACTGCGGGAGGACATGGAGTCAGCCTCAGGTCAGAGCCCACCCCTCACCCAGTACAGTCTCCAGGAGGCAGGGATCAAAACCAAAACCACTGAGACCTCCCTCTGGCCCTCCAACCCAACCTCTGGCTTTGCACTCCAGAAATGTGTGTGCATGTTGGGAGATTCTGCTATAGGCTCAAGAGCATAATTCCTATTGGCTTAAAACTAAAAACAACCTGTAGCCAACATCGGAACTGGCATAAACTATGGCACCTCCACATGTAATATAAACTTGGATGAGTCTCTTTTTTTAATTGTTTAGTGGAAAAAATGAGGCAATACCACTTATGTAAGACACATGCACAAAAACAAGTCAGACACGTGCAGAAAGAGCACGCCCAAATCAAAGACACACGACCACGGTGTATGTGGGCGGAGAGGACACGGAGTTGGGGGCTAAGAAAGAATGAATGCGACCCGAGGGGCCTGGCACAGACAGATGGTTTAAGGCGCCGAGAACCAGGGTAAAAGATAACTCAACCCCTCCACGTGAAGCCCCAAAGTGACCGCAAGCACACGCGGTGCAGACGAGGGCGCGAGTCGCGGGCGGGGGCACGCACCGAGCACTCCTCCTCCGAGGTCTGCACACAGCCGGACCGGTCGTTGCGCACGCAGCAGGCCGAGTGCTTCTCGCGCTCACGCGCAGCCCGGATGAAACTATGCACCTGCGGGTCCTGGCGCATGCAGGGCGAGAACTTGGCACCCAGGTGAATGAGAGCCTCCTGCGGGCAGGGTGAGCGGGATGTGCAGCTGCGGCCCCCGCCCGCCAGCCCAGCGTCCCCTCCCGCCAGCACCTAGGCCCCGCCCCGCCAGGCCCCGCCCTCACCGAGCTGGGCCCGATCCAGAAGTTCTCCTGCTGCACATACTTGACATTCTCATACACCCCGCGGTTCCGCAGCACCTGGGAGATTGGGGAGAGCGAGTGAACGGAGCCCACTCGGGTCCCCTCTTCCAGAGCGCGGCGGGAGGGAGTCCAGAAAGGCCAGACTCCAGGGGTCTGGGCCCAGGAAGGGCGCCGGGGCTCACCGAGTCCACCGTCTCATGCTGCGAGAAGCCCACGGGTGCGATGCCATAGATGCACACGGCCAGAATGGTGACGAGCGAGTGCACGAAGGTGAGCCAGTAGGTGAAGAAGGGCCTACGGGTCGCAGCGTCAACGGAGAGGGCATCCCCAACCAGGAGCCCCGCCCCCATCCCCCAGCCTGGCCCGCCCCAAGCCGCATCCCCAAGCCGCATCCCCCGACAGCCTACCTGTGGTCGTCCATGTCCTCGATCTGGCGTTTGACATAGCTGTCGATGCGCTTGCGGTAGGTGCGGTTGGTTAGCCGCCCCACCATGCCCAGCCCATACGGCCGCTTCTCCCTGGCAAAGAACTTGCGCACCGGCATCGCGATGCGCTGGCCCCGCCGCTGTCCCGCCGCGCTCACCACCTCCTGCCGCAGCCGCACCTTGGGCTGCGGGGCGGTCGGGCCACCCTCCTTCTGCTTCCGCCAGCCGCGTTCCAGGGGCCTGGGGGAAGGGGCGCAGTCACCTCCCGCCCCAGACCCCCCACCTGGGCGGGTGAGACCAGGGCGACCTTCAGGCTCTGTCTTGCTCTCCTTTAGCGGTGAAGACACTTTGCACGTCTCTCTGCCTCAGCCTGCTCCTTACCAGTAAAAGAGCCATCTTGAGCCCCTCTGGGTATGGCAGGGAGGGGACCTGACCTACGGGGTTCCCTGGCTTGCCTGCAAGTATTGACCACATCAGTTCCTGCTTCCGGCTGGATTCTGTCCAGCCTGTGGGCTCTGGGATTGTGATCCTGTTCCACAGGTGGGTGGCAGAGACTCGATTGGTGCCCAGCCCCGGGTCCCCCAGCCATCATAGCCAAGCTGAGCTCCCAGTGGAGGAGGGGACCATTCCCTCAGTCCTCCAGGGCATGGTGCCCTAGGGCAGGGCTGGTCCTCACAGCCACAGGCTCCCACACAACCCCTCCCCAACCCCAGCTTCCCCACTGCCATGCTCCCCTCCACCCCCTGCACACTCACAGCATCAGGTGACTGCGCTCCAGCTCACTGCGGTCCAGGGCCCCGCCCGTGAGGTCCCCCTGCTCCGGGGCCTTCTCCCAGTCCTTGAGCGCCGCCTCCGATGGGGACTCGAACACCTCATCTGGGTAGGTGGACAGCTCCTCGTGGAGGACACCTTCCTGAGCAAACACACGTGGTCAGGGTGGGACGCAGGCCAAGGGGTCGCAGGCGAGGCTGCCCAGCTCTTACCCGGGCGAAGAAGGACGTGTCCAGCTCCTCGGGGAAGTCCGCCGTGTCCTCCTCCAGGAAGCTGGCGGGGGTGAAGCTTCGGCGCTGCGCCCGGCGCAATGTACCGTCTCTAACGGAGCGGCCCTGTCAGGGAGGAGGTGAGCATGCAGCGTGGTGGCCAGCTCAGCTCCCCCAGCCCCCAGCCCTGCACTCACCTTCACCAGCGCCGCGGCCGCCCGGAAGCTCATCTTGGCCACCGACTCGCGCTTGCGTCGCCGCGGGAGCCGGCTGAAACCAGAGCGGGAGCTGGAGAAGGAGCAGAGGGAGGCAGCACCCGGCGTGACGGGCGTGTGCGGGGTACTCAGGCCGTCGGCGGTGTCATCCGCCACCCGGAACGCCCGGCCCCGGGCCAGGGGGTCTATGATCTGGCGGATGGGAGGAGATGCAGGCTGTGTCATCGCCACGGAGCTCCTTCCCCACCCTGGACCCCACTGTGGAAAACACAGCTGCTGCTTCTCACTCCCCAGGGGTCCCTGGACAGCTGTGTGGGTAACGCCCGCACCCCACTGCACCCAGAGGGGCCCTCTCCCAGCCTGCAGTGCCTTTACAGGGCCGCTCATCCTGGATGTTCCCCCACCTAGAGGCTGGCACCATAGTACCTGGACCCTGTCCCCTCACCCAGGACCCCCTTCCCAGACAATATCTTAGATACCTTTATGGGACCATCTGACCACCCTCCCAGACCACGAGCTCCGAGAAACCTCCGCTGCTCAGGCTGGCTATGTCCCCAGCCCCAGCCCAGGGGAGCAGGGGGAGAGGCCTGTGGAGACAGTGGCAAGCGGGCATACCTTCTGCATGCCCAGCTGGCATGGCCCCACGTACAGTGGAGGGGGCGTCTCGGTGCTGGTCAGCGACACGTTGTCCTGGCTAGGCAGGTCCAGCTCCCGGATGACCTGGGGCTTCAGCTTCCCATAGCGCTGGCTGCAGTGACGGATGCTCTTGCGCTGCCACTTCTGGGTGCTATCACTGTCCTTGCTCACTCCGAACCAGTCAGCTGTGCCCCTGCCACAGGGGAGGGACTCAGCAGGGGGAAGTCAGATCTCCCCCCTCCCCAGCAGGGGCCTGAGGGGCCCTCTTCCCAGGCAGCATGCCCCACCCCAGGCTCCGGTCACTGCAGGGTCAGGGGTCCCTGTAGCCTGAGTCTAATTAAGAGGATGAGTGGGTTGCAGTCCTGGCTACCCCTGAACAATCAGCCAACTCCAGATTCCCACAGAACCGCAGGCGGCAGGCCTTGCCCAGGTGAGTATGTTACACGGGCCTCCCCCATCCCTGACAGGGGGCTTTTGTGGGGAGACACCGAGTCCAGAGACAGACTCAGAGCTTAGCCCTTCGCTCAGCCAGCCAGAGCTTAGCCCCAGGCACTGCGAAACCTTAGACCCCAGAGAACTCAGGCAGCAGGCGCTGCACGCCCAGGCAGGGTGCCCACAGCCCTCAGACATGCAGAAGCACTGTCAGCACTGGCCATTAGGAGCCCCAGAGAACGCCACAAGCGCTGGCAGCTCCCTAGAGGTCACAAGCCATGCACACACCAGCTGATGCCAACACACTCATGCCCTGCCCACGGTACCTGAGCAGGGACCGAGAGAGAGACCGGCGCTGCGGGAGGGCCCTGGGGGCAGCAGGGGGGCCCAAGAGGGGCAGAGTGTGGACACACCCAAAGCGCACCTGTCGGCTGTTCAGGGGCCAGAGCATTGCGTAGGGGGAGACAGAGAAGGAGAGAGCGAGCGCTGGGGGGAGGCAGAGAAGGGTGGTAGGGGAGAGCAGTTGGTCCTCAGAGCAGGAGAACGACAGGGTGACATGGGGAACAAGATGGAGGAGAAAGCCGAGATGGGAGGGGCTTGGCTGCATTCCCAGCCCCAGTACCCAAAGGGGATCCTGCACATCTGCCTCTGTCCCACCAGCCCCCAGCCCCCAGCCCGTGGAGCAGCCAGGCCAGTGTGGTACCTGCGGATGGTCTGCGTGATGGACGTCTGGCGCTGCAGCACCGGCCGCCGGGGCTCGTGATGGGGCGAGGGGACGTGGGCCGTCTCAGCTGGCATACTCACGCTCCGCAAGAAAGCCTGGCGTCGCAGGGGCTGTGCAACGGGGTCACGGTGAGGGGGCTGCACAGGATGCACCCACAGTCCCTGCTGGCCAGGGCCTACCTGCAGGAAGCTGGGCTCCTCCACTGCCGGGGGCACCACAGCTGGGATGTCCAGCTTCAGCCAGGGTGGCTTCTTGCGCTGCAAGCTGCTCGTGCTGTCCCTGCGGGCCTCGCTCATGGTTCCAGGTGGAGCACGGCGGGCCTAGGGGGTGGCGAGTTATTCAGTAACAATGCTGACAGATCTCTGGGGGTTCACTGGGCACAGAGCCAGGAGGAGGGAGAAGCAGCGATAACCCCACAGCGTGGTCACGGCTCCCATTGCTGACATCCTACTGTGAGCTCAGCACTGACTCACTGAGTTCCTGCCTCGTTCATCCTGACAGACACCGCCAGGCACAAACTAGGTCCTCAGATGACACAAACTCATGTGACAATATCTGAGCACCTACACTCCTGGGTGACTGGGACACACCGGCGGGGCAACAAGGAAACCAAAATGGATGAAACCCCCAAATCCCTGCCCTCCTGGAGCCCACAGTCCAGACGCACGCAAACCTATAAGTCAGTTAGAAGACGCCAAGTGTGACAGGGAAAAAACAGCACGTGACAGTTGCCAGGGGCAGTGATGTCTCCCTGCAAGGTGACATCTGAGCAAAGGCTTAAAAGAGGTGACGGAGCAAGCCAGGCTGGGGGCAACCTGGCACAGAGAACAGCCAGGGTGGAGGCCAGAGTGAGCACGAGGGCAGGGGCTGGTGGAGGGGCTCACCCAGTCTGTACAGGGGGCAAACCTCAAGCCTGTCTGGCCCAGGCCTCCACTCTCAACCACTGTGCCATCTCTCAGGACAGAGGGCCCGCCACGCCCAGGACAGGGTGCCTGACAGGCCATCTCAACAGGAGAGGCCACTGGGCTTCCCGGGTGAGAGCTGCTCCGTGAAACCGCCTGGGCACAGAGCTGCTGTGACCTCCAGGGGGCGCCACGTGCCCAGGAACAGCACCAAGGTGGCGTACCGCCACCCTGTGCATCTGAGACCCAACCCCAGACCCATCACCCTGGCACAGGGGCAGGGCCCAGGACTCAGCAGAGGCCAGGGTGTGATGGGGGCCACCACTGCCTGGCCATGTGACCACGGCCTCCTTGGAACTCTATTTCTCCATTTACAAAATGTCACTTTCAGGGCAGATCTGGCTGCCCCTCCCCAAAGAAAGACCACGAGGAGTCTGCAAACAAGGAAATCCAAGATTGGAAGGGTGCCCTGACCACAGAGGGGCACATGGAGCAGGCAGTGGCTGAGCAATTCTTGGAGGGCAGAGACCCCAAAATTCCTCAGCCTCCTCCAAGAGCTTCAGACCCCAACAGACTGAACTGCGGGGTCAGTAACCCACCCACTAACACCCTGGACACGGCTCACAGCTGCTCCTGTCCCTACACAGACCAGGGACATGCCCAGGACACTACTCACAGCTTCTGTTGGCCCTGTGCCAATCAGGGAGCAGCCCAGAACCCAGCTCACAGGTCCTAATATATTGCCCTATATTGACCGAGGACTGGGCCAGGATGTGGCTGGCAGCTCCTACCAGCCCTATCCAAAACAGGGCTGAGCCCAGGATACCATCGACAGTTCCTAATGGCTCTGTACCGACCAGGACAGGCCCAGCACGCTGCTCACACTCCTTCTGGCTCTGTACTGACCAGGACAGGCCCAGCACGCTGCTCACACTCCTTCTGGCTCTGTACCAACCAGGACAGGCCCAGGACGCTGCTCACACTCCTGCTGGCTCTGTACCGACCAGGACAGGCCCAGCACGCTGCTTGCACTCCTACTGGCTCTGTACCAACCAGGACAGGCCCAGGACGCTGCTCACACTCCTTCTGGCTCTGTACCGACCAGGACAGGCCCAGCACGCTGCTCACACTCCTGCTGGCTCTGCACAGACCAGGATCAGGCCCAGCACGCTGCTTGCACTCCTACTGGCTCTGCACCGACCAGGACAGGCCCAGGACACTGCTCACACTCCTTGTGGCTCTGTACCGACCAGGACAGGCCCAGCACGCTGCTCACACTCCTGCTGGCTCTGCACAGACCAGGATCAGGCCCAGCACGCTGCTTGCACTCCTACTGGCTCTGCACCGACCAGGACAGGCCCAGGACACTGCTCACACTCCTTGTGGCTCTGTACCAACCAGGATCAGGCCCAGCACGCTGCTCACACTCCTACTGGCCCACATTGAATAGGAATAGGCCCAGACTGTTCCTGGTCTGGGAGGGAGTCCTTTGGGGATGCCTGGCTCTTACCCCATCCCTCACATTCCAGTCTCTTCTCTGAGCTATGTACCCAGAGGTCTTTCCATCCACATAGCCCCCTCAGGGCCAAGCCCCTCTCCCCGGCCCTCACCCAGTCTGACCTCAAGGCAAAGGCCAAGGGCAGCATTTGTTCCCACATCACTGGGAATTCCTCTGGGCCTCCTGCCCATGCCGAGCCCCACAACGTGGGGTCAGATGGTGGGTTCCCTGGAGGGGGAGGTGGCAGGCAGGATTGGTAGGGTAGGGTCCGACATGAAGGAATCCTAACTGAGAACTGGATCCCTCTAGGATCTGAACCAGACCAGCCATCAGCATCCAACTCACATGACAAACCCAGCCCAGACCTGTGTGTCCCTTGATACAGCCCAGCAATAGCATCAACAGGTCACAGGTCAGCATCCTGGGAGGGCGGCGGCTTCCTCATCATTGGCCAGCCCTCCCTTCACAGATGATGCAGACTGGAAGATCCCCAGCTGGGAAGGAAATGACTGGGAAGGACAATCTGAGTCTCAAGCAGTAACAGGGGAATTTCAGACACACTGGGGGGTTGGGAAGTATCCAGCACATTGGGAAGCCAGATAGTGCTCAGAGAGAGGCTTCCAGAACCTGCACTGCTGTGACAGCATCCTGAGCCACAGTCAGGTCAGCCCTGCCAGGCAGGGGGATCTGACCCGCAAGATCGTGCTATGCCCTGGAAGGCGTTGAGGGTCAGGGGCCAGACAGGATGGGGACCACTTTAACATCTCCGATGGGGGTGGCTACGCCACCTTCGGTCCACCCATGCCACCCAACAACCACATGTATCTCGCAGCCTCATATTCTCACCTGGAAAACGAGCCAGTGCTTCTGATGAAGCCATTGCAAGATCCGGAGAGGAACAGGGCCAAGAGTGGCACCTGGGGTCATCACTGGGAATCCGCAGCCTAGGGGCCGGGGGTCAGCATCTCTAGGAGCTCCCCATGCGTGCCCAGTACCTCTGGGTGACACCAGCTGGGAACCTTTGCCAGCTGACTGGCTCACACCACCACACACATCCACGACGCTCCATGGCTCCCACCACCCACCACGGCCTCTCCTCACACCTGGCTCTAACCATGCCCGGCCCCTGCATGTGCATTCTGCCCAACCTCCCACATGTTCAAGGACCCGCAGCCTCAGTCGCGCTGCCCCACCCCTGACAGGTGCTCCGGGACCGGGATTCTCCTGGCACAGCCCAGGAGTTCACCCACGTGTGTGCTGTCCTATCCTGTCGCTGCCAAGTCTGCAGTGCCCAGGACAGGTCTGCCCCGGAGCCACTGATTGGTAAACACTGGTCAGTTTGGAGCACAGGCTAGCAGGGGCTTATCCCCAAGGTCTTGGGTGATGCAGGATCCCTGACGATCACCCGTCATTTGGGTCTGGGAGGAGGAGCTGACCGTATGACTGGGTCAGGGCAGGAACAGCACAGCAAAGAGGTGGGAAGAAAGTGGTGAAAGTGCACAGCGAGCTGGACACCCCCTGGCCCTGCCAGCCTGGGCCCATAGTTCACCCCAAGAACACAAGAGCCGCACAGCTCAGGAGGGAGGCCCAGCTCCCTGCCTGCACACCCAGATCTCCTGGTGTCCTTCACCTCCAGCCAATCCTTCGTGTGTCTGGGGCAGAGGCAGGAGGGTGCCCTGTGGCCCACACGCCGCCAGGAGGCCCAGCCTGCCCTAGTGCTGTGGGCCCCGGCCTGCCCTGCCCCTGTGTATCCAGTTCCCCATCTGGGCCTCAAGTGGGTGGGATTCACAAAGTGGGGGCTCCACAGTGGGCCTCGAGGGTTTGGGGGAGGGGCAGGCCCAGGCCAGACAAAGAGTCTGGGCCAGGGAGGGGCACAGTGTCCGCCCAGAGGAGACAGTGGCTCAGTGTCCAGGCCTCCCCCAGGCGCACAGTGGGCTCTTGTTCCCAGAGAGCTCCTCGGGGGGAGTCCCAACAGCATGTCCGCTCTGCTGAGCCCTCAGTGCAGGGAGAAACCGCAGGCCAGGGAGGGTCGGACCGCCCGGGTCACAGAGCATCTGAGTCACTGGCAACATTCACAACTGCCCACCCGGGGCCCGGCCCCATCAGGAGACACCCAAAGGGGCATCTAGCAGTGAAGTGGGACGTGCCAGCGAAGCAAACATTGCAGGTGAGCCCAGCGGAGGCATGAAATAGCACTGCACCCTCGCTGCCCCCCGGGTGCTCCGAGCAGCTCAGGACAAGCGCGGGGCAAACTCACGATGAGGCCGAGGACAAGGGCCCTGAAGGGTCACAGGACCACTAGGGCTGTGTGAAGTGGCAGCAAGAAGCACGGGAGTGGCCGCAGCCTGGGGGCAGAGGGCTGGATGAGGAGCAGGGGAGTGTCCCACTGACTCAGGTTCCTGTTCTGTGGACGACTGGAGACCCTGAGCGCGAGTGGACACTGTGCATGGTGCAGGAGGGACCAGGAAGCAGGGGCCAGTGCAGAGAGGCCAGGGAGGGAAGAGAGCCTGGCCCAAGATGCAGTGCACAGACCCCGCTCACCTCCACCCCCTGCAGCCCCAGGCAAGCCTCAGTGTCCCCATCTGAAAGTCAGGGGCCACAGCTGCCTGGCACAAGCAGGTGTTCAAGAAGCAGGAGCTGAATCTAACCCAGAAAGGCTAGTGATGCGACCTCCTGTGGGGCTCGCTGAGGAGGGTGGCCACAGAAAGGGCCGGGGACCTGGGTCAGAGGGCCCAGCACGTGTACCACCAGAGCACAGGCCACGGGGGCCAGGGAGGGGACCCTTCAGAGAGGCCCAGGGTGGGACGGTGTGGCCAAGAGGCAGGAGAAGACTGGGGAGAAGGTCTGGCCCACCTGGACAGTGGCCGGGGCCAGTGGCTGGATCCTCAGGCGTGAGCAGCATTCACCACTGCCCCACACACACAGGACAACACTGGCAGGGGGGCTGGAGGCCAAGTGGATGGCCCGGCCTCAGGACCAGACCCTCCAAGTCCAGGCCCTGCCCTGCCCAGGGGACGGCCGACTGCCAAGGTCAGCAGGAGCACTGGGCCCCACCCGTGGACATGTGCCCAGACATGTCCCCAGCTCACCTGAGCACGGTCCCAGGAGAGCTGACTCCTCCAGCCTCCCCACAGCCATGATCTCTAACCCTCAGTCTTTAGTCTCATGCACAACCCCAGGTCTCCCTGGGAGGGGAGATCAGCAGCTGACAGCCTAGAATCCAGGCCTTCTCCACCATGTGCTATTATGCGGCAAAGTGAAAGGCACCAGGCCTCTCTGTGCCTCTTTGCCTCATCTGTAAATGGCATCATGTCGGGAATGATACTAGCCAAGCCCTCAACCTCTAAAACCCTCCCAGCGACCCCTCCACTTTTCTGTGGAAGAAATGAGGTTCGCAGGGGAGCAGGGCAGGCCTGAGACCCGGTTGAGGGTCCATACGGTGCCCTCTGCCAGTGCCCAGGAGGACACATCAGATCCCTGCCTCCTCACGTCACCCAACACCTGCCACCACCCCAAACGAGCATGCACAGGGCCAAGACCAGAACAGGGGGCTTCCTCCTGCGGGAGGCCCTGTGAGAAGCCCTGACAACCGCAGCTGGGCCCTGACCTGGAGAGTGGTACCCCGGACACGAAGGGAACGCCAGCCCTGGGGAGGGGCACTGCCCAAAGGCTCAGAGGGCGCAGACGACCCACAGTCCGGGTACCAGAATCCAAGCCCCTGACCTCACTGGGGCTCACAGGGGCGGACACACCGAGGGTCGGGGAGCCCCAAAGCTCAGAGAGGTCGGAGGGCCTGTCCACGCCACACAATGAAGGGGGTAGGGCCCAGACTGAGCTACAGCAGATGCTGGATGGAAGCAGCCCCTCAAGATGCAGAGGGCACAGGCCCACACCCCATTAGCACACCTGGCCAGAGGCAGATGCCCAGCCTGATCACCAGTCAGAGCCCCCAGAAGTGCCCCTGACTGACCCCACACCCGTGCTCCCTGGTGCCCAGACACCCTCAGGCCTAGCGAACTTCCCAGAACTCACCAGCCACCGGACGGTATCAGAGAGGCCGTGGAGGGGAAACCAAGTCCCCGAAGTCCGTTATCAGAGCAGAAATGCCTTCAGTCACCTGACCCTGACTGATCCCACTGACCTATCCCAACCCCTGGGAGGGAGCGGTCCTCTGTGTCCACCTTGCAGATAAGGAAACTGAGGCTCCGAGAGGCCAGTCACCACCTGAGGTCGCTGAGCCTCCAAGGGGTTCAAAGCTTTGGTCTGCGCCTGCCCAGGAGCCGCCAGGGTGGCCCAGGCAGGGGGCAGACCATAGGGTTCCTCAGGCTGTGAGGGCTGTCAGGCCCCTCTGGGACCCTATTCCACCCACTCCACCGGAGCATTTCAGGTCAGAGAAGAGGGCGTCGCCCTCCAACACACGCCACCAGAGAAGAGGCAGAAGCGAAGGAATCTGATCCATGCACAGAAAATCGATCCCGTCACAGACACCGAGGTGGGGGAACCGGAGCTGGTGTGGGGGAGCCCCTCACATGCCAGGAGAGGAGCAATGGGGGTGCCCCGAGCAACAGGTGGAACTGAGGGAGGGCCCCGAAAGGCAGGAGACCCAGGGGATTCCCTCTGAACCAAAGGTACGGCAAGAACACGAGCTCCCAGGGCGGGGATCCATCTGGAACGCACGCTGGGCGGGACGAGGGATGTTGGTCATAGCAATGCTCCAGCTCTGCTGCCCTTGTCAGCCTGTCTGTGTGATGGGAGGCCAGTTGGCCAATCGAGGCTGCTTTGGAGGGGTTGGGAAAGGGCCTGGGGCCTGGCACCTCCCATCGGAGCCCACTCGACTCCTGTGCCCCACTGCCAGCCCTGCCCTGTTGTCAGGGAAAAGGACTCAGCTTGCCCAGAACAACCCCTGGTGGCAGGGGTCTCAGCCTCAGGACCTCTGGGGCCCCAGCCAGCCGTCCTGATCCCCGGCTTCCTCCCACCTCCGGGTGGGGGCTAGGGGGCTGGGGCCGGCTCCATCAGGGTGGGGAGAACCCAGCATCTAGCTGGGCCAAACCTGAAAAGCCAGTTTCATCCTTGAATCTTCTCTGCCAGGAAGTCCCAAGGCGGGGGCCTTCCCGGGCAGAGGGCTAGGGCCTCCAGACCCAGGCCCCGCCCACCCAGACAGACACACACAAACACAACCCCAAGCTGCACACATACAAGAAGGAACTCGGTCAGGACCATCTGGGCCTTGGGCAGGCACAGCTGGGGCACCCCCTGCGCATTCCCCACACAGCCCCAGAGAAGGGCCCCCAGCAGGGCAGACGGCGGGGTCCGCCCCCTGCACCCTAAGCACCCGGGGACCTGCCACCTCCCAGCCAAGAGGCCTGCTCCAAAGCACCTCTAGCGGCCTCAGGCTCAGCCCCGGCCCCTCCCCTTGACCACTGAGCACGGTAGGGCGTCTTCGGGAGTAGCTCCCGGCTCACTGCACTTCCACCGTCTAGAGATGAGGCAGATGGGGCTCGGAAGCGGAAGGGGGATCCGGCCCCCACTGTCAGCTCCACAGCTCCTGCTGTTCCTGCTGATACTATTCCCATCCCCAGTGAGGACGGCTGGGACAGGGGCGATCCCGAAAAGTCCCACCCTCTGAGCCGGAGTTTCGACTTGGAGACACCACCCGCCGGTGGAGGCAGAGAAGGAAAACGTAAGGGGGGAGGGGACAACTCCGAGGAGCCTGGGGACAACCCCCGACTCCGACCGAGCCCTCCCGCTCCCAGGACCCTCAGCTGTTGGGCGGGGGCTGGAGCCAAGCTGTCCGGCCCGGTCAGGCCGCTAGGACGTGCTAATCCGGCCACGGGCTATTTTTGCGCGCGCCGGGTTAGGAATCCGGGGCTGGGCCGCCTGCGCGGGCGGCTCGGGAAACTCCGCGAAGGAAAGTCCGGCCGCCTTGGGCGGGGACTTGCCCGAACCCCGGACCCAGACCCGGACCCGGACCCGGACCCCGAGCCCGGCCCCACTCCGGCGGCCCGAGCGGCTCCGGCCGCGCTGGGCAGAGGACCGGCCCGCGCGCAGCGGATGCAGCCCCGGATCCTGCCCGCCCGCCGCGCCCGCACCCGCACCCGCACCCCTCCCGCCGCGCTCACTCACCGCTGCCCCGCCGGCACCGGGGTCCTCGGGGGTCCTGAGGGCTTCGGGGAGGGGCTGCCGCCGCCGGCCGGGAGGGCGCCCGCGCCGAGTCCCCGCCCGCGCGCCCGCCCGCCCGTCCGGCCCGCCCGCCCCGGAATGCCATGGAGCGAGGGGCGTGCGTGCCGGGGGCGGGCCCGGCCGGAGGGGGCGGCCGCGCTGACTCAGGGCTCAGGAATGCGCACGGCCCGCCCGGCCCGAGCCACCTCCTCCCGGAAGGCCGCTGGGCTCCGCTCTCCCTTGTGCCCGCCCGCGGGGACACCTGTGGCTGGGGTTTGCGAGCGCCTTGGCCAAGGAAGGGAGGGAGGATCCGGTGGCCCGGCTGGAGGGAGCCTGACGGCCGACGACAGTCCAGCTCCTCAGCCACTCCCGGACTCCAGAGTGAGTGCTGGCCTTGTGCTTGAGAAAGGAGGAGGGGTACAGGGAGCGCCCCTGGATCTCCGTAAACGGAACCAGGAGCCTCCTCCAAAGGCCCACACTGGCGACACTCACCCAGCCCCGCATGAGCACTCGCACTTCCGCACATACACCCACACTCATACACACATGCTCACGCGGTCACGCGCTCACACCACGCTCTGTACCCGCTCACACTCATGCTCACTCATATTCACACACATCTACTCACACACAATTGTACACTTCCATGCCCACTCTCACGTTTACACATAGGCACACAACCACAATCGTACACTCCCATTTGTGTGTTTACACACTGATGCACACTTACACTCGCACCCACAACAAAGGCAGGATCAGAGCAGTTATGCCCTCCCCAGGTCCCTGTCTCCCCCCAAATGCCTGCCCTCCCCGGGCACTGGAGGGCCAGGCTGGGCCTGCAGCCCCTGAAACCTGCACACTTTCTGGCCCATCCACTGCCACGGAGGGCTCCTCTCTTGCACTGTCTGAGCTAGACACTAAAGGGCCCATCTGTGCTAGGCTGAGGCTGCTGGTGAGTTTCCCAGCATTCCTCTCTCCTGCCATTGCAGGAGTTGGTGGGTCCCAACCACCCAGAGAAACACCTGGGAGTCGGGGTGGGGGGGGGGGGGGGGGGGGAGGGGGTGGTGACAATGGCAGGGAACAGGCAGGTCTGACCAGCAGCTGTGAGTGGCGGAGGGTCCCAGGCCTCCTCTGGGTAGCTGATACGGTGGTCTCCCTTCTTCCCTTGGAGAAAACAGAACTGGGACCACAGGTCTCCTAAGGACCCTTCCACTGGAGACCAGAACACCTTGGGGCACGTGAGGCCCAGCCCCTCAAGCCTCAGAGGGCCCACAGATGTGTCCTCAGGCCCTTTGCTGGCCTGGGACCTGGTGGCACTGGCCCTCTCTGAACAGTTGCTATGATGGTCAGCAAGCCGTGCCCAGTGTCCTTGTCCTTGGCTACACAGAAAAGAAAGTTGACAACTTGAGGTGGCAGCCAACTTACAGGCAAGGGCAAGGGACGGAATCCTCTGATCGTGTGCTCGTCCATCCCATAGGACAGAGTGGTGGCTGCACATACTGGATCCTCTATGAACACAGGTCTATCAACCCGATCCTTAGGTAGAGGGAGATAATGAAAGCTTTGGAGGGGCTAGAGGGGGTTTTCTTCACTGGGGGGGTGACTACAGATACACTGGGGACACAAGACAAGAGGGAGGCTGCCTGACGCTGATGCTCAGGGCTCCCGCAGCCCAGTAGTACCATCCCTCCCATGCCAGGCCCTCAGCCAGAGATAGGACAGTGTCTCCATGCCTGGCATTCTCCATCCCTGCAAGGGATAAGCAAGCCCCACCCACCCGGATGCCCAGACTGGGCTGTCAGGGCCAGCGGGAGTGTCATCTCTGGAGACCAGGAACTGGGCTCCCCTCCAAAGCATGTCACGGCTGGGCATCCGGTGCTGGCAGATCCTCTCCTGCAGTGGACACTGCAGGGCGCCACCGAGACCTGCTCCATGACCCAGACACTCAGCCCTAACTGCCAGGACCCCTGGCCATAGCTGCCTCACAGATGAGACCCCTCAAGGAGTCACCTTCAGTGACAAGAGCACCCAACACCATGCTCCCTGCCCAGAGAGGGTTGTCTGTGTGTCCAGTGACAGGTAAATGGCTTCCCTTTGTGTTCACTGGGCTACTCCAAAGGTCCCCTCAGGTCTCGAGCTCCAGTGGGGTCCGCAGCAGCCTCTGTCATAAACCCTAGCCTCAGAAGGACAGTGTGAGCCGAGGAGGGTCAACACATGAGTGCTCAGGCCTGGACCCAGTTCACACAGACACAAGCGTGCACACGTGCGCTCTGTCTCATGTCTGCCCCACTGCCCTGTGCTCCAGTGGACAAGCCCCCTACACGGAAACCCAGCTTCTGGTCCCTCTGTTCCCTCTTTACCTGGTTCTGGAGACGCGGAAATCAGCTGCAACTGCCTAGCACGTGGGCAGATGATTGGGGATGGGCTGGTGTCTGGACGGCCCCCATGGCTGCAGACTTCACTCTGGGACTGGAGCGGGTGGGAGCCCTGACCAGCAGGGGTCCTTGCAAGCCACCCGGGCCTCCTCAGCTTGGCTGGCCAGTCCTTGGGCTTTGGGGAGCCTGTGTGGGCCAGGACCAGCCCCCCGCTATTTGGGGAGGAGGCAGAAGTGGGCCAAGCCAGCCAGGGGCCTGAAGTCACTGGCTATTTCTGAGGCAGCTGCCCCTCCCTCTGTCTCAGGGCATGGCAAGGGGGCCCAAAAATACCCGGGCCCAGGGCCCAGCAGCACTGGCAGCACGCTCCAGGAAAGGAGGATGCAGCCCCCACACACCTCCTCCTGCTCCCTCTCCACTCAAGGAGCCTCTGACCCCCCAGCGCCCGTCAGATACCGAGGGCCTAGGAGGCCAGTCAGGATGCCAGAAGCCACCCTGCTGAGAAGCCAAGGCAGGACTCTGACCCGACTCTCCCATCGACTGTGTCAGCCCTCCCTACGTTAGACAGGACACTGAGCCAGTGAGCTGGGTGCCCTGGGACAGTGCTGTGCTGGAACTTGGCCTCTGTGGCTGGTAGAGCCCCTGTCCTTTCTCTCAAGGCCGCCGAGACTGACGGCCCCACTGCAGGCCGTGAGCCCTCCCTGCAGGGCACAGAGCAGCCCACCCCAACGCTGACCCCTTTCAAAGCATCGAGGGTGTCCTCACCTCCATCTTCCATTGGCATCCTCCAATAAGCCTCTCCCAGCCCGGCAGCAGGCACGTGGACGGAGGCGGCCCACGCCCCTCCTGCCCAGCACCACCTTCTGTCCCTCAGCCCGCCTGCCGGCCCTGCAGGCCACAGTGGGAATGCTCAGCCCACCACTTCCAGCCTGTGGTGGGGCCTCAGACCACAAACCAGGAAGTGGGGGGTGGGGGGGGTGCAGGGGTTGCGCAAGCCCCGGCACTCAGGCCCGAACATCTGGAGAAGTGGGTTGCTGGCGCCGGCCCTGCCTCCTCCTCCTGGGAGCCAGGGCTGCCCTCCTGGCCTCTCTCTCCTCTTCCTAAGGTGGGGATAAAACACCCCTCTGGGAACGTGTGGACTCCCCATGTTTTCTGCAAGGCCTGGCACCATTTGTGAAATCCAAATAAAAATTAACACAAAACAGCACCCACCCAGCCTCTGCCCCTACCAGGGAACCTGGCCCAACTGGGGCCTCAGTTTCCCTCCTGGAGGGGGGAGCTGGGGGAGGGGAGGAGGGAAGTGGGGCTGGGCACACAGGAAGGCAGGAAGGGGTGTCATTGTTTGGGCAGAATGGCTGCAGGGGGTAAGGAGGAAAGAAAGGGCTGCGAGTCACTTCCAAGCCTGGCTTTATGACACACTGCCCACCCCCGGAAGCAGCACACAGTGCCACAAACAGCTGGAAGGCTGCTGCCCCTCCCTCCGCAGGAAGTCCTGGTTGGGGCCCTGGGGGCAGTCTGCCTGGGTCTGGGCTGGAGTTCAGCCCCTGGGCTGGTCACTGGCCGGAGGAGGAGGAGCTGTTGGAGACCTCGGTCCTCCCAGCTGGACTTGCCCTGACACCAGGTGCCACGCTCACTGAGGACCCAAGTCACACGGCCAGCCCAGAACCTCCCATCTGACACCATCTATGCCCAGTTGCTCTCCGGGGCCCCACGAGGGCCAGGGTCCCAGAAATCAAACAGAGCTCAGGACATGCTCAAGTTTTTCCAGGGCCGAGGCGGGCTCCACAAGGACATGGGACCGTGCCTGCAACAGCAGGGGGGTCCTACAGATGGGGATACACCCTAGAGCGAAGGTACGGGGTGGCTCTGCTGGGTATGTGGACTGCATTTGCCCTCCCAGGTCCACTGAGCCACAGGGCGGGCAGTATGCCCCTCACCCCCCACCCCGCAGCACAGCCCTGAGCCTGAACATCCCCCACCCACGCCCCTTCACTCCTCTAGACCAGGCAGCGCCCTCCCCAGACTCCCTTCCCCTCCCTGGGGGCACAAATCCGCCTTGAGAAGTTACAGGCTGGGGCAGCAGGCGGAGGGCAGCGGCTTCCCCGGAAGGCCCCAGACCACCGCCCTGAAAGGCGGGTGTTCACGGGTCCCCAGAGCCCCAGCCTCCGCCTCGGCCTCTTTAGGAGGCTGGCCTCGCTCCAGCGGGCCCACCCCAGGACGTGGGCGGGCTCCTCTCCGCATCCTTGGGCAGGGAGGGGTGGGGGCTCCACGGCAGAAACAGAATCCCCGTCCGCCTGCGATGATGACCAGGCGGGGGCT